GCCATCCTGGGATGGGACTTCCTTTCTTCTCTGGAACCCAGGCCAATTTTTTTCAGAGCCTTTACTCCTCTCAGGGGACAGAGGGAGGTCTGGCAGTGAGATATGAGTCCTTGAACACATCTGTACCTAAAGTGAGACGAAATTGTGCCTTTAGACACAGTGGACAACACTCCTTAATATGTCTTCACTATTTGCTTGATCTTCCTGGTCCTTAGAAGTGTTTGGGTTGGAAATCCTTGGTTGACCTCGTGAGTCTAAAACCTCCTAACATCTTTTTCTTCAATCCATCAGCCATTTAAGTGAGCACCAGGTGTATGGTCAATATCTGGTGTCAAGAAAGATGCCAGAGTGGGAAGGTGAGCAAGGGCCAGGTGAGGTGTGATGCCCCTTGTCTACTGTGAGAAATGGGCCCTGCAGATGTTGGTCAGGCCAGCCTGGCCCTGGGAACCTAGCTCTGGCATCCTGGGGGCATCCTCAGCCCTGGGGAACCCCTTGAGGTCACTCTGCAGAAGCTGAAGACCTTCCAAAGACAGACATTCCAGAGCCATTGGAATTTTGGTCTCCATCCTTGAGCAGAAATGGATCCATACTTTGGCCCTGGAGCCAAAGTGGCCTCCTAGAACCGTCTTGGATAAGACCTGAAATTTGGAGCTAGACCAAAGTAACAACTCTAGGTGCTGACTGTGCCCTTATTGTCTGTTCCTGAACAAACCAGTAGAGGTCTCATAGGAGCTATGGCTCAGAAATGTCTAGCCTAGCAGTTGCTGGGTATCCAAAATATCACCAAAATACCATTGCCACTTGGTCCCTGGCAAAATATCCTTGAATCTGGATAATGTTTACTGGCATGAACTATGGAAATGACTTTCTCATGGTATGAAATTGCTGGAGTCGTAGCAGACTCTACTAGCTTCCTTCTTCTATCTGGAGCACCTTACCATCTGCTCCATTCAAAGTCACCTTGAATGGAGAGAAATGAGAAAAGACATGGACAGGAAATTCTTTATACTTAACCTAACATCCCTTAGGCTGCCACTTAAGCTCATTTCCTCATTTTGTATCCTGGGGTAAAGGAAAAAACAGCTTGTCATGGCCTTAACCTGTCATTCAGGCTCTGGGAGGTTACTTCCTCGTGTTCCCTCTGCTGGGCCATAGAATTCCTGTTGTCTTGACTTTGGGTTTGTCCTTTTTCCTTTTTAGAGAGGCAGTTCATGGGATTTATAGCTTTAAAGGATGTACCCAGTATCATCTTTATTAGACAAGAATATAGAAAACTATTACAAAAGGTTATGTGCTGCATTTATCTAGCAGAGAGGGTGGTCTGGTCTAAGTTTCTAAGAACAGTTAGAATAAATCAGGAATCACTTTGTCATATTTCATCCTTATGCTCCCAGAATACTGATCCCACAACACAGAACCAGAATGCAGTCTGCAGACCTGGAAACCAATTTCACAGCCTTTATGCCTTGACTGCACATTTAAGGAATGAAATCAGGAGACCTACAAAACAATCATTGGGAAGAGAACATACGGTCATATTTCTAGTCCCAAGAAGCAGCTTTCTGTCAAGTAATTCACGTGCACGTGCATTGATTTGTGCCTTCTCAGACTGGTTCTTCCTCAGATAGATGCTGGTTTGATGAGTTCACTGAGAGCTCAGGCATGAGGGGCTCTGGATGGGGCTGGAGTGACAGAAAAGATTGCTTTCTATCCAGGCCTCCTCTTCTTCTTCTTCCTCCAACTCTTCCTAAGCGGGCACAGATGATGTTCACTAGGAAGCATCAAAAATGACATCAGTTTGAAATATCAAAGTAGATAACAATCCAGGGAATGAAAATATCTGCTAATCAAGCCACCATATGGTTTGTTTAACGGACCCAGGTTGCGTGTGTTGGGGGGAGGGTGGGAGGAAGGGTCATGGTAGATTGGCCTAAGGCCTTTGGAAAACCATAAATTCAGGATGGATCTTAAGGAGATTGACGGTAAGGCTGCCTTGAAAGTATGGTTTCCAGGTCTCCCAGAGGCCTTTGTGTTCACTAATGACCTTCATTAGGCAACTCTCTGAGGCCTAAGACGTCACTATTAGAAAAGTCATTTGGTCTTAGGTTTTGTCATAAGAATGCAAATGTCCCTGAGAGAGCACATCATCCACTTCTTCCATTCCTTCCAGAGAGGGGGGAGGATGAGGACACCCAGCACAAGGTGCCATAACAGTGTATTGGGGGCAGGAGTGCCCCCCCAGGGAGGAAAGTGGCATGGTGGAAGAGATGGTAAACCCAACTCTGGAGGCCTCGTGATTTGTTTTAGAATGGTGGTGGCTTCCTAAATTAATTTTTGATGGCAATGGTCACAGGTCATATCTGAGCAGGGGCAAATTCTGAGGGTCTGTGAGCTGGGAGGGGGAGAGCTGGGCTTTGGAATTGGGTGAAGCAGGGTTTGCGTCTGACTCCGCTCTGGGGCAGCTGTGTGACTCCGGGTGAACCCTAACCTTGCTCCTGGCCTTCTTTACTCATCTGGAATACAGAGGGAGTAAATGACACCTCCCAGGTGGTGTGTGTTCTGAGCACCTCATGTAACGTAGGGTTAGGTGCTCAGAGCCGTGGGCGGTGGGTGGTAGACACTCCATAAACCCTCTCCTCCTGTCCATTGCCCTCTCCCATTTGTATTTACTGTAGTTGAGCACCATATGGCCTTTCTCTCAGCATCCAAATGTTGGCTCAGGCAGTTATCAAGTTGAGACACACTGATGATACTTGATCATTGGCTAGAGGAGGGCAAACAAACTCATGCACAGACACAGTTGGAAGCTCCGATTGTGTAAGCACAGTGAGGTGATGGTCATTAGGTTTTGGCAACCCAGAGGTATTTCCCCCTTGCCCTTTTTTACTTTGTGCATCTCTTACTGGAGCTCCTTGAAGGTTTGAAGTATCTCCCCATATGCTGGGCTGATACAACCATTTGAATGTGGATTCTCACTTGTGTTGGAAACTCTTTTATGCTGTGTCCAAGAATAGATGCAAGACAGGGCCAGGAAGAACAATGAGTATATTTATCAATTGTTCTTCTTTTCAGATTATCAGTAATGAAAGTCAATCATTTTCAAGCCTAGGCAGTATTGTACTGATTGAATCACGAGCGCCTAAGAGAAAATGTGACAGTGCTTGGGGGTCACTGGCCTCTTGTTTTTGGCTGTCTGTCCAGGAGCTAACTTTCCTTAAGGGAGATTTGGACTCGAACTGTAAAGAAAAACGTTATTCACATATTCATTCATTTGTTTTCTTCCTTGGGAGACTCGCCCAACCATGAGCATCCCTTTGCAGTTTTGGGACGGGGGCGGGGAACCTCGCTTTGCTCTTGCACACCTTTTGGTCAGTGTGAAATATTGGATTCCTGGGACTGATTGCTGCTGTTGGGGGAAATAGGGATCACGACTAGAAAAAGCTGGTTAGTCAGATGGCAGAGAAGGAGGAGAGGTTTTTGTAGTGAAGCCTTGGGGGAAAGAAAGGGAACTGAAAGAAGGGAACCCCAGTCTTCTGGCTAAGTAAGTCCTGGAAGGTTTCTCGTGGGCAAGGAGGGAGGGGTACATGAGAATTATTGAAGAGTAGCCATGATTGCTAGTAAATGCCCAGAAAGTCACCGACGCACTGTGTGTACAATCTCCTCAACTCAAAATTTTGCAGAGAGCGCTAGGTTTCTTGTCTATGATTTCTCCCATTATGGGCTTATGGGACCCTCATCCCTGGAACTGGGGAGGGGAGGCTTTGTGGGTTTTGCTTCCTGCCCGGAGTCTGACAACATGCTTTTGTCTCCAAAACAGGCACTCTTTCTTTACTGCTTTGAAATCATCAGATCCATTCTCTTCTTCTTCATTCCTTGGATTTCTTTGAGTGAGGCCATATGAGTTCTCCTTTTTCATCATTTTACTCCTGAGGCAGTGGGGCAATTTGGGGAGGGATGAGTGATGTATGCTAGCATCATCTGTGGTTATGGTGTTCAGAATTTTCACCTGGTATCAAAATCACATACTAACCAGTCCACGTGTCGTCACAAAACACTCCTTCCCCTTTCTTCTTCCATGAGGTTCCAAACTCATTTTTCTTCATGGTACTCAGTTTAAAGGTTTCTGGGTTTCTTAGATTACTTTTCTCTTTCCTGAGAGTGCCTTGTATCATTGAATAAACAGTTTCAGATCCAGGTTTGCCTAAAATTTGTTTGACTGTTGTGTGAATGTTTAGCATCTATTCATATGATGTAATGTTGCAGGATCTGTTACAATGTGAGCTGAGAGATTTTGTTTGACAAAATGTTATGTGTCATTTGGGTTATTTTTCAAAATCAAGAATATGTTTATGGGACCTCATAACTGAATATAAAAATGTAATTGTGCTTCTTAATAACTTGCTTTTCTTCTTCTGGGACAAAATATGGAAACATTTAAATTAGCTCTATGCAGATGAACCAGAAGCTTACCTCCCTTCTAAGGTGTTGATGATCTTGATTTGTTTTCTTTGTGGAAATGAATGCTTCTGTTATCTCGCTTTGGATGCAATGGTTAGTCGTCCCCATCATGACAATTTTATATTGTTCTTCTCGGAGGTATTTTAAAGACTGTCCAACTGTACCATATAGAATACTAAGAGCTTATTTGATATATGAATGCCTCTGGAGAACATGTCAAATTATGAATTCGTTATTCCTGCACTAGCAAGGCAACATAATCAAGCCAGAGAATGCCTAGAGTTTGTTTTGATTTGTTTCACTTTTGTTTTAAATTTACCACCCACAGTTATCCAAAATACATAAAAGCTTGTGGGTTTGATATGTTTGTTTTGCTCTCTCATACTGTAACAATGTTCAAACATGACTATACTTAACGTCTTTAGGACCAGACAAATTAAAAGTCATTTGCTCTTTTGATAACAATATCAGAGAACATTGGAAAAAAATTCCTTTTCACAATCTGCCATTCCCATAAGTTGATAGTTGCGCTGTTTGCATAGCTGACCACCCACTGAAGCCAAGGCACGTGAAACTGCTGTCCACTAAAATGGGCCTGAAAGTCACGTGGGACCCACCCAAAGATGCTACCAGTAGACCCGTGGAGCATTACAACATTGCCTATGGGAAGTCACTGAAAAGTCTTAAATACATCAAGGTGAATGCCGAGACGCACTCCTTCCTTATTGAGGATGTGGGTAAGTGACTCTATGGTCTTGTTCCCGGTCAGAACTAACTGTACACCAACATTCTCAGTTCCCTTCTTAGGTAGGATGGCTGTTTGTGAGACACAGTGTGGCCAGGCTCCAGGGACCTCATGGTTCTTTGGGAACAGGTAGCTGAGGTCATGAGGCTGTTGCTTAATCTTTATCTTGCCCTTGGACTTCCCATTCTGCATTTGAACTCAAGTATTTCTGGGTAGTTCTCCAAACGAATGTAGGAAACCAGTTTTTAGTTTCTGAATGTGCTTTTGGAAAGCATGTTGTTTCTTTGTTTCCTAGAAACTTTACTTTGTAGCCTAATCTTGAGATTTCTAATTTATAAACCAATTAGAGATTACTCAAATAATATGTCCCTGTGAGGGTGTGTGTGATATGTCATGCTTAGACACATCTGGTTCAAAGACATGACATTCTCCCCATTAAATTTGATTCTGGAAGTCTGTAATACTTAAAAATTTTTCTAAATATATTGTTTTATAAGTGCAAGTGTAGGTGGTTTTGAACATAGGCTTTGAGCTGCCTCCTTGGGACCCTCTATCTTTTGCTTTTTTGATCCTACGAGCCTGAAACTCCCATTTATTCTACAGTCCAACCTCATGATGGATCGTAAGGAAGTAACAGAAGTCAGCATCTCTGACAACCAGGTCTCCCTGCACTGGGTTTCCGTTTTCCTGCCTTCCTTTGGTGGATCAAAATCAACTAACTCATGGCTCCTCAGATTCCTGGCCATTGTCTACACATTTACTCTCTCTCCACCTCCTGCATTATAATGTTAGACTTTCTGAGTAACAGAGCAGAAAGTATATAGAAGGGACATCAAAGGAGCCAGATTTCCTTCTTCGTGGTTCCAGCTAAACATACATTTCTCTGAATCTTTTCCACATCAGTATGACCCTACTAAGTACGACAGTGAGGTTAAATGGAGAATCTGTTGGACCCAAGGCATGAGCAGGGTCATCTTTGCTTGTTCAAACCTTAGGTTGTTATGATCACTGCAGAGAAGAAAAACATGCAAAAAGAGAGCCCTAGAACTCACTGAAAAACAAATAGTCTCTCCCAAGTAACTCACTGATGAGTTAATGGGAATCAGAGACATGTGGATTAAATTGCCTTGAAATGTGAATAACCTCAGAATGAAGAGAGAAAGTGCCTGGCAAAGCATGATTTTGTGTGCTGTCTGACCCTAGAGAGCATTTCCCAGTTAGTCCAGCAGGCCATGCCAAACCCTACATGCTACCAGGCCCTGCCACAGTCAGACAGAGGTCCTACTGACCTCGAGCACAGCAGGGGTGCTAGATGGCATCTCTGTGTCGCTGTTGCTGGGCCTCTGGCCCTAGAACCGAAGTTCTGTTATAGAAACACTTCTCACCTTGAGAAATGTACATATGCTTCTTGCCTTTGACACATCTAACACTTATCTCTCCAACCGTCCGTCCCATCAAACGCCCACAAACTCTCATCTCTCCAAGGAACTGGCGCCTTCACTTACCTTTCACAGTAATTCATTTTGAGGAAAACCAGCACAATTGGAGTTTTCCTTTCTGCAGCTGCAAATTCAGGGCACACTCACACGGTAATGTGGTCTCCCGGTTTCCCTTCCCGTCCCACCGACTTCAGGAGCTCAGCCAAAGAGACCATGGCTATTTGGCCTTGACCCCTATATACACGTCAAAGTGAAGCCCAGTTATTTCAAGATTAACATGTCCAAGGTTCCAACAGCTGTTTCTCTAGGTTTTTGTTGAAATGGTCAAAGACAACAACATGCAGACCTAGTAAAGGGAGTATTCACTGTCATAAGGAGAAAAATTTCATGAAGCTTTACATGTTGCAATGAAGATTTCCCATGTGCTAAATTTTATGAGTTACCCTGAAATTTTCTTTCTGTGCTTTGGAGTTTTCTGTTTGAAGCTTCCAGGGGGAGATATTATTTGCAGGTACTGACACTGTAGACTATAAAACACCTACTTAGTGGATGGTGCGTTCCTATTTCCTACATTAATTTCACATTAAAAAGCTCAAAAGCCTTTTCTGTTGACAGCTTATGAATCCAGGTTTATTAGACATGCCATGTACTTTGTACTAAATAAATTTCGTGTTCTTTGGGTCAGGCATATTTTCGTTGCATGAGAGGAATGTTAGTGATATTGATTAAAAAGAGAGAGAGAGAGCTGTAGTTAGACTTGTCACTTAATTCAGATTTTTATATTTGGTTATACATAAGGGAGACAGTTAGTGAATCACACTGTCATTCCTGGAGATTTGAAACGGTGGCTTGATGTAAACCATATGTTTCAGAGCCGGGGGTAGTGTGCTTTGTGCTGGTTACTGCAGAAAACCCCAGTGGAGTGAGCCGTCCGGTTTACAGAGCTGAAAGCCCACCTGGTAAGTCATACCTAGAATTGGAGGCTGTATTTTTGTTACTTAGATGGGGAGAAACATCCTTCTTTGCTTTCTCGGATCTATACAGATTTAGAATCTTTAAAGGGTTCCTGAGCAAGAATGACTTGTATAGCAAGCTGAAAGATAGAAAACTAGGAGAGACTTATCCCTGCTTTTAAAGTAATTTTGATGTAGGTTGTTAGCGTTTTGTCCTAAATTTTTGGAGTACTCATTAGAGTAAGCCATGTGCAAAAGACCAAGAAGATGTGATGTCCAGAAAGCTTAGGTGCCTCGTTACGGATGTGGCCTGAGCGGATCCTTTTGAGGACTGTTGAAAAGACCACTAAACATGTGTTAGGGCTGCACTGAAATGTGGAAAATCCAATCGTCCTCGTTTCTAACTATGAAGTTGCATTTTCCTCATTTAGGAGGTGAATGGATCCGGATTGATGGTTTTCCCATTAAGGGTCCAGGACCATTTAATGAAACCACCACAGGTACTACGTGCTCCTTCGGTTCATGTCCTCACTGAAGCACCGTCTCGCAAGAGGGTTGTGCTTCTGTCACACACATGTGCTCACCAACCTTCATTTAGTTCCCATCGCTAAACTAACACACATGCCACACGGTTTTGGTCAATCTGCTCTGCACCCGATGGCCCAGACTGCAGCCGGTGTTGCTCATTTCGCACTGTTCTTTCACGTGCTGGTGTGGGGAAGTGTCTTTGTCTACATCTGGGGTTACTGTTGCACTGTTAACAGGCAAATATGGTGGTTGAGATGGCAGCCCTGGCCTGATGAGGATATTTATAGCTCTGTTACCTGTGGATGGCATAAATGAATGGAATCCACCAGGAAGTGGCTTTTATTGGCTAATATGCTGTATCAAGTCTTTCTCTCTTTTCTCATAAGCATGGGATATTTTGTGATATGTTCGAGCACCTGCCTTCCATCTCTGCTCCATATTTGTATATATGTCTGTTTTATCATTTGGATGTTGATGTTGTCTAGTCATATTGTTTTACTTGTTGAGGGAAGTGTTAACATTTCTTGTATGTTTTTTTGAATACATTTAATTAATGGTGAAAAAATAATGCAAAATGAATGCAGTCATTTTGGAGTGTGGTTGGATAATATCCCAAAGGCAATATGGCGAGGACCTGTATTCTGTTTTCATGAATGCTGTTTTTAAGTCCGTCAATCTGGTGTTATTGTTGAGAGGAAGGTGAGTACTTTGAAACCAATGACCATAATCTGCTTCTCAGGTCAGGTTTGATGGGTGTAGGCAGTTTCAAAGTCCCCTTTCTGCAGAAAGGGGGTGAAAAAATGAAACAACCAGAAAAGGAAGCTGGCTTTCAAGGAAAGGTGATATGCTTTTGTTCCAATATGTTGGACTTGGGGCGACCATGGGGTGTTGGAAGGGAGACATCTCGGAGGTGATTGGAGGTGGGGAGATGAAAGTCGGAAGAGAGAAGTAAGGGGCAGGCATGGATTCCAGAGTCATGCTCCAGAGTGAGAGTGGAAGCCGAGTGTGTATGAGGGTGACAGGAGGGACAAGAGCAAAGGGCCACAGTCAAAACTGAGAGGATGATGACAGTCGAATAGCCAAGATGGTAGTACACCTAGGAAATGTGCAAAATATGCAAGGGTGTGTTTATTCCGAGACTGTCCACCCCTGAAGAGGCACATGTAAACTTTTTACTGACAGATGTTCAGTGCCTTGTATTGGAATCTTGTATTTTAGATGACCATTTTATTTTTTATAATCTTTCTGATAAAGTTTTCCGAATGACAGTGGTTTTAGAACAAGTAATTTTCTTTTGCTTTTTCTTAAGTAATTAATTTCTTATGCCTTCTTTAATAAAAACATATGTGTGTGTGTGTGTGTGTGTGTGTGTGTGTGTGTGTCTGCAACCTTTCTGAGTGAGCACGAATTACAGAAACGCTGGGAACTGGGACTCACAGACAGTCGTGGTCCAGCTCGTTATTGGTTTTGCATACTGTGAAATCATTTAACCTCTCTCTGTAGTAGACTTTGTATGCCCTAGTTGCCAAAGGGCACTCTTCTGTAATATATAATACTATATTTGTTATATATTATGATAAAAAAGATACTGGAAGAAATTGCTAGCTGAAACCATTTCCAGCATAAGATATAAAGCAGAATTTTTTCTTTTAAAAAAATGAATAACAGAATGCACAGACTTGGTTACAGTGCTCCAGAAAAAAAAATTACATGTCATTAGTAATAAAAATAATAAGAATAATTTATGAGAAGTTATCAATAAATGATCAGCATGCATCTATGCCTTTTTTTTATAAGGCTTGGAAAATATGCTATGCTGCTATTCTGAGGAATGGTTAAATAAATGACAATCCCATTAAACAAAGTAAGTATTCTGAGTTCCAGGTATCTTCATTCAAAGGAAAGGATTTGTCCTCAAAATGTAGACATTGGCATTGGCTCCTGGTGGAAGGCCCCAAGGGTTCCCTTTAGTGTTTTGCCTGGTAACATCTCACTTTCTTTGAGTGTTTTACTTGAAACCAGAGGAAAATCTATCCTTTTGCTCTGCTGGAAACAGTAGTTTCAGTACAAATTCCAGAAGTCCTCCTTTTGTGGCGGAGACCTATCTTGACCTCACTGTCTTTCCCTAATTATTAGATTCATTCATTCAGTGCCATTGGCTTTCCAGGGGCAGGTCTGGATGCTACAGATACAATAGGGGGTAAGACAAACAAGGGCTTGCCTTAACGAAGACTGGATTCTAGTGGGAAAGAAAGACAATAAACATGTAAGCAAAAAAATAACGCATATAATCTGTATTAGTTTGTGAGGACTGCCATAACAAAATACCACAGAGGGTGGCTTAAACAACAGATGTTTATTTTCTCTCACAGTTCCAGAGTCTGGAAGTCTAAGATCAAGGTGTCAGTAGGTTTGATTTCCCCTGAGGTCTCTCTTTGGCTTGTCTTTCCTCTATGAGTGCACATTCTTGGTGTCTCTATGTATCTCTGACTTTCCTCTTCTTAAAAGGACACCAGCCAGATGGGAGTAGGCCCTACCCCAATGGCCTCATTGTAACTTAATCACATCTTAAAAGGCTCAGTCTCCAAAGACAGTCACATCCTGGGATAATTGGGGGTCAAGACTTCAACATATGATTTTGAGGGGGGACACAATTCAGCCTGTAACAGAATCATAAATTCTTTGAAAAATGAACAACACTGAGATATGGACTAAGCTGAGTGGGGGAGCCCAGGAGGGGCTAAGATGGTGGCACCTGGCTGAGATGGTATGGGGACCGCTGGCCGGGGTGAGCGTGAGGAAGAGGAAGAACATGACAGGCAGACTTGAGTGATTCTCAGACTAGTCACTCGTCCAAATCTGAAAGCCCTCAGGACTCAGAAAGTAGGAGGACTAAGCAGAACTGCAACTCTGGCAGAAGTTTTGGCTTTGGCTTTGGCTTTGGGTAGCTCATCTTATATCTTTTAGTTAGAAAGTTTTCTTTGTATTTCAATGTGAAATCCCTCCTGTTGAGATGTAAACCCATATCCCTTTGTTTTGTCCCCAGGGAAGAGAGGTCCCGAGTCCATTTAGCTATTGGAATCTTATTATTTACCTTCCCTGCAGACTTCTTTTCTGAAGTTGTTTTAGCTTTTTATTTCTGTGATCAGATGTGGGGTCATCTGGTCTGTGCCGAGCCAGATACTGGGGTCAGGACAAGACCATGGCCCAGCTCTGATTTCAACCAACCCGGGGACTCAGCATGCAGGTCATTCTGCTTTCACCGGCTCTTCATCTGGAAAATTTTAGTTTTCAATAGCATCATGTGTATTTTTTTAAAAGATTATTTATTTATTTGCCAGAGAGAGAGAGAGAGAGCATGTGAGAGTACAAGCAGGGGGAGTGGCAGGCAGAGGGAGAAGCAGGCTCCCCCCTGAGCAAGGAGCCTGATGCGGGGCTCGATTCCAAGACCCTGGGATCATGACCTGAGCCGAAGGCAGATGCTTAACCGATTGAGCCACCCAGGCATCCCAGGATCATGTGTATTTTTAATAAGGTGATGGTTTTCTAAAACTCTAGTCATTCATGCTGTCCTTAAGCTATGGCGCCCAAACTAGACAGAGTACTGAGATAAAAGTCTCTTCTTTTAGATTTCTGCCTCGTATTTTCTTACATTATATTTTAGTCCATGAAGTTTGCTCATTTTTTAGACAATTAAATCATAGCTCCGACTTGAGTTCACAGTTCTCTTTGGCCATTCTCAACCAACACTGGCATAGCTGCGCCCAGCCATTCCCTGACCTCCACGTTGCTCCCCAAATACAAATAGCGTGTTGGCTCTTGGCTCATAATAGCCTGTCCACACTGGCGTCCTCCATGATGGTGGCCCACCTGACATCCTCATGTCATGGTTTCCAGCTGCCACCACCTGCTGCCTGTGGTAGAGTTGCTCTTCTCCACAGTCATCTTGCTTTTTCAACTCCCTCACTGTCCTGAGCTCCCTTCCAGACTTACTTGGGCTTTGGGTCCATAGACCCTTCCCATTTCCACAGTCCAGTGCTGTCTCCTGTCTCATTTCTTGTCTTTCCTGGTCCCCCTCCTGTTAGCTCGGCCAGCACCCCTGACCATGGGACGGCCTCTGTGGCCTGCTAGTCCCCATACCAGGGCCCCTACCTCCCTGGCTTCCCTCCTGCATGTGAATTGCTGAGCCTTGTGGGAGAAGCAAAGAGCTAAGCCGATCAGTACCTCTGTGACTCCTTACAGCTGGTCTGCTAACTCCAACTGGGTCCTCAGCTCTGCTTGGCAGTTGTTCTCTGTGTCCTTACTCAGATTACTTCCTTTCTTCCATGGCTTAGCAGGTCCAGAATATTGCCACTTTGCTCGAGCTCCTTCCTCCTGTCCTCCTCTTGCTTCTAGCCTTGCTTCCTGCCTCCCTTTGAAATAAAGGTTATCAGCATGACACCCCTCCTCTTATTCCCCATGACTTCCAAACCCTCATCTCCCTTCCCTCCTCTTGGCTCTGAGGGGAACTGCTGTCCCCATGACTCTTCAAGGTTGACTTCATAGATGTGAAGCTGCATAGCATGCCTGGTCAGACCCGAGGGCAGACCTGGGTTCGGGTCCATTACGGGAGCCCCGCTACTCTCCGCGGTGCCTGCCTCTAAAAGCTGATACCTGCTGTTGAATGGGTGTCAAATTACTTGACAGAGAAATGATGAAACTAAGAAACCATGCAAACCACAGTTTGGCATCTTTATTCCTTCCCTGGCATTCCTTTCATAGGAAATACCTATGGTCATATGAGAAATGGATATTGCATAATCTAAAATTACGAATTCTGGCCTTTTCTATCAATAGTTCATCAAAGCAAACACTGACCTTCAGGTATATCTTCTTGCCAATTTGTTTAAATGTGACTGACGTGGAGAGTGGAAATTCTAACCCTAGTGTCCTGCGACGGGCCCTTTCCTGACCCATTGACTCGAGAGTACAG